CCTTGTCTTGTTCCAGATTTTAGTGGGAAGGCTCTTAACATTGAGTATTATATTGGCTGTGGGTTTGTCATAAATAGCTGTCACTATGTTGTGATATTTTCCCTTGAGACCCACTTTCATAAGGATTTTTATCATGAATGGATGTTTAATTTTATCAAATGCTTTTTCTCATCTATTCTGAGATGATCAGTGGCTGTAATCTTTTCTTTTTAATGATGTGGTATAACACATTGATTTGTGTATGCTGAACCATCCTTTTGACCCTGAGATGAATCCAAATTGGTTCTGGCATATGATCTTTTTTATGTGTTGCTGGATTTGGTTTGCTAATACTTTGTTGAGAATTCGTAAACCTATATTTGTCAATGATACTGGTAATTTTGCTTTTTGGTAGTGTCTTTGGTTTTGGTATCAGGGTGGTGGCGGCTTCATAGAATGTCTTTGGGAGTGGAACAGGGACACTCTTGCAGTCAGTCTACTCTGGCAGCCTTGGAGCCACCTGATCCGAGTCCACGGTGGCCTCCACACAGGATGGTGGAGTCTGGACACAGAGCAAAGTGGGAGCACAGTCATGGGGGCGGCGGGAATGGTCCTCAGTGTAGGGGAGTGCGTGACTTCTCCAAGGCCTGCTCTGCAGACTGTGCTCTGAGATGGGCGGTCATCAGTCATGACCAGTCACAGGCATCCATACCATGGCGCTACTGCAAGTTTAGTTTCAGACCACCTCAATATAGCGTATACCTCAGCAAGTCAAGTCACATAAAGTCTTTGGTTTCCCAGTGCATGTGACAAGTTATGTTTACATTATACTACAGTCTCCTAAGGGTACAACAGCATTTTGTCTAAAAAATGTACTTGTCTTAATTAAAAAATACTTTCTTGCTAAAAAATGCTAACCATCACCTGACTAGATTCGACTCTTGTTCAGTTTCTAGAATCCAGTGGTCACAACCTAGGAGCCCATGCCAGGGCAGCAGGCCATCTGCTCCTCACACCAGCCAGCCCAGCAGGTCTGTGAACTCCTGTGCAGAGCTGGGGCATCCCTTTTTATGACTTCAAACCAGCCTCCTGGCAGAAGGGGTTCTGAGAGTCAATTACCATGGGAAGTATTTCAGCTGGCAGGAATCCAAGAGTCAAGAGCAGCTGCCTGTCAGCCTTCAAGGGCCCCCACCCGAGATTTAATGGGCTTTATAGGCGCACTGGGCGCTTGCCCCAGCAGTGGCGGGTCTGCGGCTGCGCGGCTGCTCTGATCTAGGGCTGCCTGCCACGAGGAAGTGCCGGGGCTTCACACACTTCTTGCTGACGTCTGAGCAGGACTCCCAGCTGTTCGCTGACCTCCGTGGATGGAGACACAGGCAATCTTCTCAACCGGAGGGAGTTAAGCTGAGAAACACTCCATCCTCGCAGCTTCTCGCGGCCACAGCAGCTCTGGGCAGATGCGCCTGGTACCAGAGGCCAGGGGCAGGGAAAGGGGCTGCTGGAAAAGATGCTCAGATTTCTCCAAGGGCCAGCAAGGAGCCCTGGTGGTTTGTGAGGAACTGTCAGAGGCTGGGACTAGGGCAGTGACACTCCTGGACAATATTCCGTGGCCTGGTTCAGCGCATCCACAGAAATAACTGTGGTGCATGGCGGGGGAGCACCATGGAGCCCCCTCACCTCCCCCACAAAGCTCCATGAGTAGAGCGGTTAGAGAAACAAGGGAAGAACTGGAAACACATGGGTGGGATGCAGGCTCCCCCACCCACCACCTGGGAGGCATGAGCCCTACCTCCCATGAGCTTCAGTAGAGGTGCTGGGTCAGAGCCAGGGGACTTCAACAGGACGCAAAAGTCAGTCAGGGCGGCATGGTCAGGGATGAGGCCCGCGGCCACAAGGGCCTGCTGCACAAACCAAACACCAACGGTTTCATGAGAAGGTGCTGAATGAGGGGACGAAGCCCCAGCACCACGGCTGGAGAGGCCAAGAAGTGGCCCCAGACGGCCCCCATTGGAAATGTCGACATCCAGAACATTCTGCTGTGTCTGTGATGCGAAGGCCAGCGAGGCACTGGGTGGGAAATGCAGGGCGCCAAAGATGGAGAGCGGGTCCTAAAATGTTCAGCGAAGAGCTTTTGAGGAGAGACTGCCAACTTCTTCAGAAGAATGATGGAGGCCATAACAATGGGAGAAAATAAGTCAACATAATTGAATATCTGGAAAAACTATCTTTCAAAGAATAGGATGAAATGAAACAAATTACAGAAAAAAAAGTTTTTTCTTTGCACTGGCAACAAAAGAAAAAATAGATCTCACGAAAATTGAAAATGTTTATGCATTAAAAAACAGTATAAACAGAGTAACAGGCAACTCATAGAATGGGAAAAAATATTTACAAGTCACATAATGATAACAGATGAACATCTGGAACAAACAGAGAACCTCTGAAACTCAACAACAAAAATCCAATTTTAAAAAGGAGAAAAGGATTTGAATAGAAGTTTCTCCAGAAAAATATGCAGATGGTTAGTAAGCAAATGAAAAAGATGCTCAACATCACTAATCATTAGGAAATGCAAATGATAAAACCATAATGATATACCACCTTGTTACAATGACTACTATCAAAAGAAGAAAAAAAAACACAGAAAATAACAAGTGCTGACAAGGCTGTGGAGGAACTAGAACCCTAACACTTCGCTGGTGGGAACATGAAGTGGCCCAGCCACTGTGGAAACCAGTGTATCAGTTCCTCAGAAAATTAAAACATTTACAGAATAACCATATGAGCCAGCAAGTCCACTCCTGGGCGTGTGCCCAGAGGAACCGAAAGCTGACTCTCAAAGAGGCATTGCACTCTCACGTTCATGACGTTTTCACAACAGCTGAAGGTAGAAGTACTCCGAGTTACCCATCCACAGATGAATGGAGAAACAAATATGGTCAATCTACACAATGAGAAACTAGTAAGACTTAAAAAGGAAAGAAATTCTGGTTCATGTGACAACATGGATGAATCTTAAGGACATTACGCTCAGTGATAAAAGCTGGTCACAAAAGTAGAAATACTGTACGATCCACTTAGATGAGGTCCCTAAAGGAGTCAAATCCACAGAGACAGAAAGTAGGATGGGGCGTGTTTAACGGGGACAGAGCTTCAGCTTCAGAAGACGAGGGACTTCTGGAGATGGTAGTGGTGATTGCTGCACAACAATATGAATGTACTTAATGCCACCGAACCTGACACTTAAAGACGGCGCTAAGTTTTGTTATGTGTATTTTACCACAATTTTGAAAAAATTAAAAGAAACAGAGTTTATAACAAAGTGAAAGTCTTTGAAGGGTTCAGTATTCTGTTTCTCAGAGTTCCTTCTCTGTCCTTCCCAGGCCCCACCGTGCCTACTTGTTCTAATCTGTTTCCTAGGTTCCATCCTTTAACCCTGAACCCAATATCAGATTTCTCATTCTTTTATTAAAAGCTAGCATTTAAAACACAACATCAAGAAAGTGAAAATAATTTTTTTTTAATATTAAAAGTAAACAGAGGGAATTCCCTGACATTTCAGCACTTTCATTGTCGTGGCCTAGGTTCAAACCCTGTTTGGGTAACTGTGATCCCTCAAACAAGCCGCATGGCCTGGCCAAAAACAAACAAAAAAAGTGAAAAGAAAACTCAGAATGGAAGAAAAATGTCTGTAAATCATGTATCTGATAATCGTGTACCTGTAATGTAGAGAGGACTCTTACAATTAAATAATGAAAAGACAAATGGGCAAAGGATCTGAGTAGATGTTTCTCCAAAGAAAACATATAGCCAGTAAGTGGCCAATAAGCACATTAACAGACGCTCAGTGTCACGGGCCACCACGCAAATGCAAATCAAAGCCACAGTACACGACGTCACACCCCCGAGGATGGCAGTGGTCAAAAAGGCAGGTGATGACTAGTGTTGGTGAGAATTCAGAGGCACTGGGGCCCTCGTCCAGTAATGGATGTGTCAGTTGCCCAGCTACATTCTGCTCTTGGCAACCCCAAGGACTGTAGCCTGTCAAGCTTTTCTGCCCATGGATTTTCCAGGCAAGAATACTGGAGTGGGTTGCCATTCCCTTCTCCAGGGAATGTTCCCAAACCAAGGATCGAACCTAGGTCTCCTGCACTGAAGGCAGCTTCTTTACTGTCTTAGCCTCCAAGGAAGCCTCTGGTGCACTAATAGTGGGAAGGTAAAATGGTGCAGACTCTGGAAACCCGTCAGGCAGTTCCCTAAATTACTAAATACAGAGTTACCATACGATCCAGCAATTCCACTCCTAGTTACGTGCCTATGAGAATGAGCGTATGTTCACATGAAAATCTGTACACAAATGTGCACAGAGTATTGTTCTTAAGTCAAGAACTGGAAACAACTCAAATGCCCTTCAACTGATGAATGGGTGGATACATCCATGCAGTGGAGTATCATTCAGACATCAAAGGAGTGAAGCATGACACAGACTACCACAGACATGAACCTTGAGAACATGATACTAAGGGAAAGAAACCAAACACAAAAGGCCACGTACTGTGTGCCTGCGTTTGCAGCAAGCGTCCAGAACAGGCAGATCTACGGAGACAGCAGATGAGCAGGGCAGGAGCTGGGGAGAAAGGATGCGAGCGGAAGCTACCAGGTGTGGGGGCGTTTCTGGGGTAATGACTGGTTCTGAAAAGGACTGCAGTGCTGGTCGCACAGCTGTGTGACTAGGAACCCAAGCCTGGGGAGATCCGCCACAGCACAGGAAACCAAGAAACCCTCTGTGAGCAGAACTCACTCTCCAAAGGGGCACCAGTTAAGACAGACATCAGCACACACATGCATCCCATGCTCTTCATCTCTAGAAAATTGGTCTAGTCCCCGTGGAAACAGAAAACGAGCTAGAAACATAGTTTTAAGTTTTCTAGTGGCCACACTTAAAAAGTTAAAAGAAACATGTAAAATTTAACACCATCTTAGGTAAGCCTGTCTACCCCATTATCATCACTTCAAACATGTCAACATAAACAACTTTAATGAGCTATTTTACATCCTGTGTTTTACACCAGCAGTTGTCTCAGCGCAGGTGGCCCATCTAACGCTCCCAGCAGCAGAGCCTCCAGCAGTGAAAGATTCACTCTCCATCCCCACAACAGATCAATTTGAGCAAAGCCAGAAAAAGGAATCTGTTGGCCAATTAACTGAAGGCCACAAGAGATCTTGTCTACTGGCGGGGCTGGGTCCAGGAGTTTCGTCTCTCTCTCTCTCTCTCTTCCCCTCATCTCTTAGCTCCACACTTCGGAGCTGGTGTCACCCCTGCCCCCAAGGCACCCCACATTAAGGAGTATTCACTCTTTTCAGCAGTTTCAGGGGAAACAGTTGTTCCTGATGACGTGGCATGCTCAGCCTGATTGGCACGGATGCTCTGACTGGTCAGCTGGGGTCACAGCCTCGCTGGAGCACTCCCCTGGGTGTGGAGGGGGAGCAGCTCCCGAGACCAAGGACTCAGGCCACAGACAGAGCCCAGCACCTACACCCTAGCCCAGCATGGCCTCTGAGGTTGAAGATGCACACAGCACTGCTGGTGTCTTGTTAATGCAACTTCTTAATTGTCTGCATCTTGCTTCCAAGCTTCTGCCCTACTGAGAAGTAGGAACAAACGTTAAACTTTCAAATATCTTAATCCAGTGGTGTTTAAGTGGCCTCCTTTGGGGACTTTCGTGGTGGTCCATTGGTTACGATTGCACCCTGCAATGCAGCGCACACAAGTTTGATGCCTGGGGGGGGGGGGGGATTAAGATACCGCATGTTAGGGAGCAACTAAGCTGCTGCCTGGCAACTGCTGAAGCCCATGTGCCACGTGACTCAACTAAGACCAGAGGCAGCCAAATAAATACATATTAAAAATAAAATCAACAGTTTCCTTTGGGCAAATGTTAAGTCCCAGGTCATAGTTCAGCTCCCTAACAGGGTCCTTCCTTTATCTTCTTCCCACGATGGTGGTGGGGCTGAGGCAAAGCTGACAAGGCTTCCTGACACTAGGGAGGCAGGTCTGCGCCTCTCCCGGCCTCCACGGGAAGTGCCTCACCCACTCACGGACGTCCTGTACATCTGGATAGGTTGTGCACTGCACAACTCCAGGGGGTACCATCGACTTAGGCTACAGTGGACACAGATCTTCCCGAAGTGGTGTGCGCAGCAGCCCCATCCTGCTCACCTCTGGTCCTCGGCCTCGGTCCTCACTGAATGTCCCGGCTTGGGGGCACCGGCAGCCCCTCTGCAGCGACTCCAGAAGCCGCTCTGCTGCCCGTCCTGCTCAGCAGCCTCCTCTTGCGGACCTCAGGCTCCTTCCTGCAGCTGGCGGCCCCCTCAGCACCTCTGTGCCTCGGCCGGGCTCGCTGGACTGGGGCGCTATCCCCCAGCCCCTCATTCTGCCCCTTCCTCACCAGGAGGGGCAGGGGCCTCCCTCGCCAGCCCCCAACCCCTTGCCTGAGTCCTCGTTGGTGGAACTCCAGTGCTAGCGGCACTGGGGGCAGCCTGGGGCGCTCTAGGACCCTGGCCCTCGAGACGGCCCCGCCCTCCAGGGCACCATCAGCCCGCAGGGTCGCCTAGGGCTGCTCCCCTCTGTGTGGCCCAGGAGGCGGTATTGAGTCCAAGAGCCACGCTCCTAGCTGGGAGAGCCCTTCCCCAGAGACTTGAGAGGAACGTGTCCCTCAGAAAATCAACTCACACAAGGAAGGGAAAAGGGGCTCCTTCTCTCACTACAGCTCCGCGGCCCACCCCCCACCCCGTCCCCTTAGCATCACACCTGGGACTGGTGTCCCGGAGAGACCGGGCCTCAGGGGGGCCGGGCGGAGGGGAACGGGGGAGCGTCCGACCTGGGGGCCGATGGACGAGGCAGCAAGGGCCGGCGGGCCTCGGGGAGGACGCCTGGCTGGAGACAGGGTGAGAGCTTCGGGGCTCACACTGCGGTCCACAACGCTGAGGCGTTCTCCCAGCCAGAGGCGAAGGTGGGTGGCACGCGACCGGAAGGAAGTCACGTGACTCGAAGGAAGCCACGCACCGGAAGCGGAAGTGCGGGATGGGGCCGCGTTTGGCGCCCTGGAGGAGCCTCGGAAGGGTCCCGCGACCTCCAGGTGTGATTGAGGACCCGCGCTCCTTGCTTCCCAAGGGGCCTGGCACAGCCTCTGCTTCTCTCGGGGCCCGGGCCCCCCCTCAGCGTGGGCCACCTCTGGCCTCGCATGCTGCTGACCCGTCTGCTCCCCGGCGGAGCACAGCCTCCCAAGTCACCCTGGCCCGAGGGGCGCTGCTCCTCTCCAGGTGGCCCTTCCTGTCTGTCCAGCTGGCCGCCACCACAGACCCCCGTGTGCAGTCACCGGGCTGTTCCCAGGCGTTGTTACCTGAACCTGCCTCCCCATCGCAACGGCTTCATGCAGAGCTTGGCACGCAGAAGGGCTCAGCCCAGCGTGCTGGAGCCTTCACGCCGGCCACCAGACACCCCCACCCCATGCGCTGCCCGGCGCCGCAGGGGAGCACTGGCCTCGGCAGTCAGGGCTAAGAGCCTGGATGCTCCCGCATGAATGACAGTCAGATGGTGCCGCCCCCCGCCCCACCCCATCCCGCTTGATTTGAGCGCTGCTGATTGCGCCCAAAGACCGGCGCCTGCTTTCACGTGCCCACCGGCGGGCTGGGGCCCTCGGCAGGGCTGATTGCGCCGGAAAGCTGGAGGGGACAGAGCTATGCGAACAGGCCACGTCACACCCCAAATGGGACCGTGTTTGCTAAATTTGTTTCCGATGCAATTTCATGCTGATTACACTGATTTCTCTGGTGATTGAGCCTGGCGCTGAGCTCGCCGCCCCGCAGACCGGCTGTCAGGATGGGCCCGTTTTTGGAGCAGGAGGTACTGATGATGATTTATGGGCCACTGTCAGCATGCTGTCTCCGGGCGGAGATGCTGAAGGCATCCTGGAGCGCTACCGGCTTCTCTGGGGACCTCTCCTGCCACGTGGCCGACTTTTAGTCCCCCAAGGCCACTCCCCACCATGCCCCTCAGCTTTCCTGTGTCTGAGTGGCTGTGAGCTCCACACCAGTTCACTTGGCCAGAACGGTGGCTGAACCAGAAGGGGACCATCAGCCTCATCACTGTCATCACCTGGTTCGGCCTGCAGCTCATGCATAGGCAGAGGTGCAGGTCACTCTCTGGGGTCCATCACACCCTTCCTGTTCTGACACAGGCCGGGGCCCAGGTCAACAGGACCCTCTGGATGGGGCTCAGGCCCTGGTTTAAGTGTCAGCTGAAATGCCCAGTGGCCCTGGGGCCAGGTGTGATGCTGGGGCCCCACCCTCAGGGCCCACTGCAGAACAAAGGTGATGGTCCTGGGGGCCCCTGCTGCAGTCACCCCGGGGGCAGAAGCCTTGACACCCGGGAAATGCTGCCCAGAGCAGGGGTGGGGTGGGGGGAGGTGGGACCGGCTGGCTATTGTGCTGCCACCCTAGACCCCTCCCAGCAAGGAAAACCCGGAGCCATGAGTTTTAGCAAAAATGTTTACTCTCCTTAATGTGTGTGTATTTACAAGTACTAAATCTGAGACAGTAAAATAGGAAATAGCCGTGTATTTACACAACCTGCAAGCCTAGAGCCACGCCGCCCCTGGGAGAGGCAGCGGCCGAGGGGCCACTCAGGCTGCAGAGCGATCGCTCTTCTTTTGGGTGGGGGCTCTGCGGCGTTAAAGGACAGCTAATTGTGGGTTTCATCTTAAAAATATCTCTCTCTCTAAATATATCTATTCTAGCTTGTGTAGCACCAACGGCGTGAGCCCTCAGCTCCAGCACTGGGGGGGAGAGCCAGGCAGGGCTCGCTCAGCAAGGGCAAAGCCGGGGTGGTGGCCTCTCCCGTGGGCCGGGCCGGGCCTGGGTCAAGGAGTGTGGGCAAGCTCGAGGTATATGGAGAGGCCAGGCTCCGGACCGTGGCCGAGCCATCCCTGGCGCTCCTGAGAGGCGTGCGGGCGAGAACGAGGGAGGCAACCCAGGGCAGCAGGCAGTAGCAGCAGAGTCCAGGCAGGCAGGCGTTCTGGCCCAGCCCCCTGGCCCCAGGACTGCAGAGGGGCCCCTGGGGCCGCCTCTGCACAGAGCAGGGTTCCATTCCGTGCCCCGGCCGCCCTCGGGCCAGAGCTGGGCTCAGGGTCAGAGTGCTGGGCCGGAGGACATGGAGGTGCCAAGGGCGAGACAGGCCAAGGACTCGGCCTGACTCCCACCTGGGGAAGGAGGTGCGCCCGTGCTGCCGGTGGACGGCAGGCTCAGGTCGGTGATTGGCTCGCGTGTAAACAGACAGCGCTAAAGTGCTCGCCCCGACCCGCCTGTGTGCTCTGCCACGCCAGGCAGCGCTGGCGGCTCCCCACTCCTGCATCCCCGCCGCCCAGACTGCCAACCCGACCACACGGCGGGCGCGAGGACCAGGGAGGCCTAGGGAGGGGGTGGGGACTGGATTCCGAAGAGGGCGGTGCCGGGGGCAGGGAGCCCCCTGGCCGGAGTGGGGCTGGAAGAACGGGGGCTTCGATCAGAAGCAGCCTCAGGGAAGACTCGGGGGGAGAGGCCCACACATAGGAACCCGGCGCCTCCCTGACCTGAGCTCCTGCTGGACACCCACCGCGTGGGGGCCCGAGCCCTGCTCAGCGCCCGTGGGGCCTGGGGGCCTCTGACCCCCAGTTCCAGGAGCTTCCTGAGTCAGGAGGTTGCGGACTTCACCCCTCCTCCCGCGGGGGAGCAGCTGCTCAGCTGATGGAGGCTCTCGGGTGGGCTCACGCCGCGTCGGGGAAGGCGCGGGGCCGGCCACAGTTAGCTGTCCCTTAAAAGTCCGCGGAGATCTGTAGTACCGTCGAAAAAGTGAATTGAAAAGGGGACGGGCCACTGCCTTCACAAGTGACTGATTAATTAAAAAACATGAAAAAAGGGGCCTAACAACCTCTAGTATTCAACACTTGCAGTTTTAAAAAGATCAAGTCATACTAAACGCTAGCACAGTCATGCAGGAATCCACAGCCCGCCTCCGGGAAACTCTAGGCCGAGCAGTCTGTCCTCACGTCAACAGGGAGACAGGCTGCCCCACAGGTGGACGCGGAGGCCGGGGCGCTCCAGCAGGAGACGCTGGCCACGCCCATTTGGCTGGGCTGTCCCAGTGCCTCGGCTCATACTCTAAACTGTAAAATTCCTCCTCCTCCAGTTAACTGTACAGGACCCCACTGGGGCTGGAGACAGGCAGAGCCACATATATATATATATATATATATGTATATATATGTACAGGTTTTTTAATTAAAAATGTGTACTCTTGCTAGCTGAGGGCAGGGTGGACAGCCCTGACCTCCAAGCCCTCTGGTCACTGCATCCTGCTCCTGGCCAGGCCACTGGGTACGGTCCAAGGGCCCCACAGCTCCAGCTGTCCAAGCACAGCAGGACTCCCCTGTTCCCCTAAAAAACGAGCAACGTCCCCCAAGCGTCCCCCCTCCAAGGGGCCAGCACACTGCTGAGGGGCCAGACTGAAGCCACGGGAAGGCAGGTGGGAGGCTGGGGGGTGGGCAGGAGGCTGATCAGGGTGGCTCCGGGGCCCTCCACAGCAGAGAGCTCAGCCTGGGGCAGGGCAGGTTTCAGGGGGGAATAAATAAGGGGAACGTGCACTCACAGCCCAGAGCCCCAGGCCCCAGTGGCTCCCAGAGGCACAGCCCTGAGGACAGAAGGGGACCCGAGTCCTTCCAGAAGTCACCTGGGCCCTGCGTGGAGCCGTCCTGCAGCCCCTCCATAGGAGGGAGCTCGGGGCCTCTCTCTGGGTGAGGTCGACGCGGCGCTCCAGCCTCGACCGCGGAGAGCACGCGGTGAATCGAGGATGGCGGCGGCGGTGGGACACCGGGACGTGGCAGGTGGGTGGCGCCGGCCCAGGCCGACTTCAGCTCCCTGCGGAGGGGCCCTGGGCGTGCCGCCGCCCCACCCAGGTGGCCAGCCAGGCCCAGCCCTCAGATTCTGCGCGGGAGGCGGGCACAGCGGCCCGCCCAGCCCCGGGCCCGGCCCGCTGGCCGCTGCGATCTCGCCTCTCCTCCTGGAGGGCTCCGGCCTCGCCCTGGGGCCTCGGCAGCCCCCTGCTGTCCTGAGGGGGCCGGGTCACACCTGGGCTCCCCGTCCCCTGCAAACAGCTCTGAGCGCAGGGAGGGCTGCAGACACTGCCTCACCCACACCGAGGAAGAGCCGGGACCCCACAGGTGGGAAGGGGACACGGGGGCCGGGGGCCAGGGCCGCACACCTGGCCCCAGCGCAGGACCCCGGCACGGCAGGCGAGGCTGCCTCCGTGGACCTCACAGCTTTGGCCGCCAGGCGGAGGCCGC